TCCGTCGCTCCTTGGGGTGGATGCCCCTGGTCTGGTGTGGGGTCCTCCCCGGGCTGCAGGGGGGTCTCTGCCCCCTGTGACCCTCCATGGGGGCAGGGGCACAGCCTGCCCTCTCACCACGGGCTGCCGGGGAACCTCTGCTCCGGGCACGTCCTCCCGCCTTTCCACACTGACCTGGGGGTCTGCCTGGTTATGTCTCCCGCATCCCACTCCTCTCTCCACTGCTGATTCCCTAGCAGGTACCAGCAGCTTCTCAGAGGAGCCACTTCAATAGCCTCTGCCCCCGCTACTAAAACGGTGCTACACAAACCCAATATACCAGTTTAAGCTTGCCTCTCACGAATACAGCCTTAAAATTTTTGGCTTAAGATAAAAAAAAGTTTGACTCTATTTGAGAAAACTAATGCTCAGGCCTGGCTTTTGTGTGGAAATATTAATTATGGGTCTTCAGTGTTGATTAAATTGTTAGGAGAGCTGTGCCCAGATCCTGGCTCCTGTGGCCACAAACAACTTAGTACTTGTTGTGACACTATTTTTAATAGTATATTTTTAATTACACCTTTCCTGAGATTGGGCTAATTTTGCAAAGAGGGATATTTACTTGCTCAGCTGGTTATTGCCCTGTCTTGTACTCTTTGACCAGAAAACACACACTTCTACACAGTGTTTGCATAACTGGGGGCGGGGGAGGGGGAAGTTATTTTTTTATGAATTCTTGGTTCTGTCTGTCTCTCTATTCCTGCTTGTACTAACTGGTTTTGTACATGCAGTTAGAAAACTAGACTTTTTTGTTAGTCTGAAAAAGCTTTGCCAACCAAAAAAAGTTACACTGTCCAGGCAAATTTTTCCTGGTTGCCCAGTAGTCCATCTCTGTTTTCTCCTTTATCCGAATCATGATTAAGCCTCTTAGCCTTGTCCTAACTACCCAAAGCCCTATCTGTTGTCTTGTCAATCTTAGTCTTCCTTATTATTAAACTTCTTCAGTTTAAATCAAGGAATCACAGGATGGTTTGGGCTGGAAGGGACCTTAAAGCTCATCCAGTTCCAACCCCCCTGCCATGGGCAGGGACACCTTCCACTAGACCAGGTTGCTCCAAGCCTCATCCAGCCTGGCCTTGAACACTTCCAGGGATGGGGCATCCACAGCTTCTCCGGGCAACCTGTCCCACTGCCTCCCCACCCTCTCCGGGCGGAATTTCTCCCTTCCATCTCATCTAAATCTATCCACTTTCAGTTTAAACCTGTTACCCCTTGTCCTGTCAAGTCCTGTAAGACTTCTGCTTTCACATGTAAATTCCATGTAAAAGGAAGAGTTCAACTTTTTGCTAGATTAAAATTTAATAGATAACTTTTTCCATTCATGAAATGAATATCAATAAACTGGCAATTAGTTGAGATTTATCATTTATACATTTATCATGAAGATACAAAGTATCTTTTTTTTTTTAATTTTTCCCCAAAACTCTCTGCTCTGATGGAGATTTTTCACTGTTGTGTTCTTCTCAGAGTAATTCCTTATATGCTGGGTACCAAATGTAGTTCAGCAGATGCTTGGAATCGAAAATGCTGAACAAGATCAGCTCTATTTTAGTGCTTTGAGTGGTAGTGACAAGCTTGGTGTGACATGAATCTCTGCCCAAAACAATGATCCTAAGCAACTGCACGTGGTGTTTAGGAGAAAAGCAAGCTTCTGTGGTTTAAACAGCCTCAGAGCTTCTTGTTTGTCAAAGCTTGTGCTTGGATATTTTGGGGCAGATCTGAGAGTTGACTTTCTAGCTGAACAGGAAGGCTTCGGTGCTGATACAAATTCTGGGGATATTTTGGGTTGGGGAAAAATAATTTTTGTGTGTAGGTAGTGCTACTTGGATAGAAGGAGAGATGTAGCTTTTAGAGTGACAGATTGGCGTGACTTTGTTTGGTGGACAAAGGTTTCAACTTTGAGGGGGTGTAGTTAGATGGCCGGAGGCGGTGCGAGCCTAGAGTTGTCTTGACAAAGGTGCAGTGTCAGTTTACTGCCCATTTCATACCTCCTAAAGGACTTGTCGTCAGCTCAGTGAAGATCTTACTGGTAAAATGGAAGTAGAAAACCCTTCGGCCGTTGCAAACCATCTTCCCAGTATGTTTTTTTGTCCCCTCCTGGCTCCCTACAACACATCCATGTATGCATACTGCTTCCCAGGTAGAAGATGGTGCGGATGAATGCTGCTTCTGATGAAGGGGTGGGGGCGTGCCTGGGGTGGAGGGTGAGTAATGCCTCCAAAGAGCAGCAGTAACACCCACCTCCCTGCTGCCCCGCAGAGAGCCGTCCAGCTCCTCGTGGTAACTCTGGGACAGCCGAAGGCGATAGGGATGGAGAGGGGTGTGTGTGTGTGTGTGTGTGGGCACGTGTGTGGTCCTGTGCCCTCAGGTGACAAATCTGAAGCAGCTTTCCAGGTGAGATTGTGTCTTACTCTGAGGACCCGAGGCCTCTCCATGTGCATCATTTTTGTTCCAGCTGCTTCTCCCCCGGCTCACAATCTGTCTGTCGTGACTCACACGCTCTCTGGCTTTGATTTAGAATCCATCTGCATTCTGAGCCAGTCAGATCCCAGTTCTTCTGCAACACCCTGTAGGAGAAGTGTGGAACTGGAGCAGAACACGTATCTGTATTTGGGAGAGAGGAGGGGGAGGCGTATTGACTCCAGCCTCAAAGTTTCTCCTTGTCTCATGTGTCTCAGTGTAAGTGTTTGGCTGAGCTGCAAAATCTGTCTGCACTCACCAGCAGTAAGGCTGAGCTGACCTGGAGACCCCTGTCCTTCCTGAGGGCATGTGGACCCTCAGATCCGACTTGGCCCCACGAGTGCTGCCCCTCACCACACATTTACAGGTTCTTAAAAGGAAAGTCCTTTCAACCCCGCTTATTTGATAGACTATCACTGTTCCCTGAGAAAAAAAGAGCGTTCGGTTTGCCTCTTCTCTGCAGGCAGGGGAAGGTGACACGAAAGTAGCAGGGAGGCTGCGTGCTAGTGCCTGGCAGCCAGAAATATGCCACATGCCTGCGGTGGAGGCGAGCAGCTGGTGTGCACGAGTGCCCTCACATCATCGCTGTCTCCTCACAAGGTCAGGGTGAGTATCGGGGGACCGAAGCTCGCTTTGACAGGGAAAGGACATCCCCAGTTAGCTTATAGAGCGGGATCACACGTCAGTGGCGATACAGAGCTGGTGGGCTCTGAATTCCAGACAACGGATATAAACCTCTTCAAGAGACTAGCTGGGGAGATTTCCCTCCTCTGCAACCTTGTCACAGACTCCCACACCCATAAGCATCACCAGAAAAGAATTGGTCCAAGGTTAATCCTTGGAATGAAAGCCAGGAGGGAATTTTCCTAGGGAGACTGGGTTAGAGGTAATGATATTTTTTGCTTGCTCCTGAGACAGCTTATGGAAAAGCACCTGGTGAGGTGAAAGTGGTCACTCTGCATTAGATAACGATTTACTAATATCAGGAAGGGGATGTGGCCCGACATCTGCGGGAGTACCCCCAAGAAAGTATTACCAGAGCCTGCATTTCTTCTCTGTTGCTGGTAAGTAGAAACACATCCATTAGGTGCTTGGATCAAAAATATGATGAAGAGAGATGTAGAGTGGTAGAGAAAAGCTGCAGAATACATGTAATTTGATTTTGCCTATTTACTGAGAAAACCTCACCAGGGCAGTGAGTTAAACACAGCAGCATCTGATCTTTGGATGCTAAGGTTTTGCATGCATGACACGAACTGACAAGACATCCTTTTGCAAGCTGGAGATCAAGATCTGCTCCAGATTTAGAACTGGAATGGAGAGGGATGCTGCGGACAAGGGTTGAGGTCTCTCCTGTTAGTCACAGCGGAGACAAGCCGGCAAAAGGGAGAGCTGGAATTCTCAGGTCTGATGTATGCAGAAACATGTGGAAAGTAGGCTGGGTAGAATTAACGAGGAAAGAGAGCAGGAGTTTTCAGAGAGAAACCTGTTTTCAAAGCGTAGAAAATGTGACTTCTCTAAGCTGCATTTCTTGGCAGCATGCTAACACTCCATAATTTTTTTTTTAGTTGTTTTATTTTAAGACTATGACTTTGTAAAAATTGTGAGCAGTGATTCAGTGACAAACACAAGTACTTGAAATACCAGTGCATACATGCTGTTGTACTCCTCTCCCTTCACCACTGAGGATGCCCCCCACTTAAGATTTTCCCATTCTATTTTAAAATTCCAGAGATGATGGGAAAACAAAGAGGCTTTCCTCCCTTCCAGTGCTTTTCTTAGAGCCCTGGCTGAATTCAAGATATGAGACACAACTGAATATTTTCCTCCCATCTGTTTTTAGCATATGGCTCAGCTAAAGAACAGAGGAGAAGCCCCTAGCTGCATCCCCATCCAGGAAAATCCCAGAGTAAAAATTGAGAAAGAGGAAAAAATGTTCTGCATGGGAATGTTTGGGAGGGGATGCAAGATAAGAGCTAGCAAAAAGGAGCTGCAGCGCCATGGACAGGGTTGGAGTCAGAACAGCAATATGCTTCTAGGCTGGAGTTCTGGCTGTGCGCACACCGGTGCGTGCGGGCCAGGTGTGACTGGAAGAATGACACCAATGAAGAATGAGAAGAGCGGCTCCTCCGCTTTCCACGTGGCATCCTGACCGTGTCCAGCAGTATTCATGTCCTGCTGCAATCCCTTCTGCCATGTAAAGCATCCTCAGCCTGCCCTTAGCCACCTTGCAGTCTGTGTCTGGCTCCTGCACGCACGCGTGTAGTCCGACAACCCAACAGTCATTGCACGGAAAGAAAGCAGCCAAAGAAAGGGTCACTCCAATGCCCCTTCTCCCAGCCGAATCAGTCCTCCGTGGGGATTGCAGAAAACATCCAAAAGCTTCTCTTTGAGGAGCAAGCACATGAAGACTGGCTCAACTGAAGGTTGCGATGGACTACTCCCCGCACACCAGCTATAAGAGGACATCCTCATCCTCATCTTCATCTTCATCCAGGTCAGTGGAGCGTAGGCTTATGTCCTTGAGGATGTCCGAGATGTTTTCAGCAACTGGCCCTGTCAGTTCCGTCTCTTCCAACTCGGTGTCAGTGGCGTAAGTGGAGCACGAGACTTCCGCCTCGTCGTGCCAGTCTGAGGGCTGGGGGGAGTGCGAGCAGGGGGGCGGTGGGCTCTCTGCGCCCAAGTCTGCTGCATGCTCTGCTGCCACCGTGCAGTTGTCCTGCCAGCTCCACACCGGAGTGGCCTGTCCGACCTTCTCACTGCTGATGGAAGTCCGGTTGGTGTCGCGGAAACTGGCAAGGGGCGGGCGGAGGCGAACCCCGGAACGCGTGGAGCCCTCTATTGCCTTCTGAAGCTACGAGAAGAGAAAAAGTTCAGAAAAAAAATGGATGAAAGGCAGGCTGACACAGCCCTACCCAGCAGAAGTTCACCTACTCTCCAAGGGAAAGGGGTCACAAGTGGGGAGAGTCACAGCCCTACCTCAGGGGCCTGCGGAGATCATATTTTACATGGGTGTTATTTTTTCATTCCACAGTAAATAACGAATTCCACATGACTTTCAGAGACAGTAATAGCAACTCAGTTAAGAGCCCTATGTTCACGAAATGGATGAACCATCTAACACCCCTTTAAACAACAAATGCTGCCTCCTCTGAAATGAAGTCACCCGTTCCTTTACATGGCTTCCAAAGGGTTGACTCAACTCTGGATCAAAAACGTAGCGATCGCAGCTAAACATATTCCCAGCTGGATCCTCCAACACCTGTACGTTATCGTAACAATCCTCAGGACATTCGCAGCTGATGGAGGAGATGGAAGGATCTGTACTTACCTCTTCCAAAGCCAACACTCCCCTCAGCTTCCCCATACTGGTTACGTAGGCATGGCTGAGGCCCAGTAATGAGAACAATGTGTGCGTCTGTGAACAAAACCACAAAAGACCACGTCGGGGACTTTGGAAACTGGTGACATGATACTTGCTGCTACAGCTGGGACTTTTTAGAAATGGGAATCACAAAGGCGCGCAGGTCTGCAGTCATGACAGTGGGAAACGACCTCTTCCCCTTTTGTCGCAATCAAGTACTACCCTCTGGTCCCTGTGCTGTGCAGCCAGAGTTGGGAGGGTGTTGGTGGTGGAGAGAACGTTCTCAAGGTCACTCCCATCCTGCATCTGGCAAACCAACAGAGATTTACATGCAACACCATGTGTAGCTGGGGACTTAAGGAGATCCTGTTTCATTTTGGTGCTGGAAATTAAACTATCATACAGTAATACGCAAAGATAAAACGCTCTTCGGTTATTTATTCCAGTGCTTCCTTTAACACTAGAAGATTTCTTTTTTCCTGTTCCAGAATACTTCCTGTCAAAACTTAGGCTTGTTGCTGCATATCAAGTACAGTGGGAACACTGAGAACAAGTTATTCCCTTTCTCTTACAAAGCCTTCTTAAAAGGAGAGATATCACACTGCTATCAGTCTTTTCTTCAGCCTGAATATACCCCATTATCTTACTGTTCTTCACAGACCAGGCTTTCTAAAAATTTCAGCACTCTCGATGTCCATCAGTGAGGTATTTCCAAGCTCCAAGTTCTTTAAGCTGAGTTCTAGCTCGACTTTACCTTACACAAAGTCATTCTTTCACAACTTGTATTCGCCTTTTTAACAGCACGTGATATATTGAATGTCATGTTCAAGAGTAAACTAGGGAAAATCTCATTTCTCAGGAACAAGTCATTTTACCCTAATGTAAAAGAAAACCAGACTGGTTAAATGCAATTTGATGGTTATAAGTTGTGATAGTCTTGCCATTATCAATAGTCTCACATTTCGCTCTAAGTACTCATACCTCAGATAGTTTGATTATTTGTTCCTGCAATTTTTGTGCATCAAAGTTAGGTTGACTTGTCCATTATTTAAGAGTGTCTCATTTGTTCTTTTTAATGAGAGATAGGAAACATTTGTAGATAGTTTGATTATTTGTTCCTGCATTTTTTGTGCATTGAAATTAAGTTGACTTGTCCGTTATTTAAGAGTGTCTCATTTGCTCTTTTTAATGAAAGATAGGAAACATTTGCAGACTTCAGGTGTAATTTCTTGTAATCCCTATATTATCAAAGATAAATGCTAGTGGTTTTCAGATTACTTCAGCCAGACCTTTAGAAGATACCAAACTCATCTTAAGTACATGCTAACCTGTTCTTATTTTGTTCAAGGATGAGATCCTCCCCCTTTGATCAGAGTAATTAATTTGTGCAAGGCATATGCTGACTGTTCACGTTAAATGAATATTGATAAAAGCATGCCCTGTGCACTTTTGCTTCAGTAGACTGCCTTCACTTTCCACTGAGGGAAAGCCCAGTCCTCTCTTATTCCTGACATAGTGATTTCTTTTATCCCCAGTCCTTTTGTGTGAACTCTAGTGGTTGTATGATCCAGCTTCCTCTTTCCTTGTGCTTCAGTTCAGCGAAGAGCCTATGATACAGGGTGGTTTCAAGCAACGCTTCTCACGCACTGAGGCAGACTCTACACCTTGACAAAAACACCCTGAGAAATGCAGGAGTACTCACTCCAGTGCTGCACACTGGCAACGCACAGTGTACATCTCAGTGTAATGCCCCCAGAAGCAAGGCGTACAATGCTTCTGTTAACGTAGTGGCTGGAAAAATCTGATGTGGTGTCCAAAAGCTCTTTTAACAAATGCACACAGATTTCTTATCACGTAGCCTTTCATTTTGCAGGAGATTGGAGGTACACGCAGGAGGTTATAGGAATGAGCTGACTTCTCTAGCTGGATGTGGAAGTAGCTGATGATAGTAGTTGCAGATGAAGACAAGGAGAAGAAATAAGTCATGGACTAGACTTGCCATGATAGATAGGGTGGAGAAAAACAGTGTATGCCTCAGACAGGCAACTGCACCCACCTTGTGCAGGGAAGTTCTCTCCACCAGCTGGAAAGGGGAAGGGTCTATGCGGCAGCTGTCAAAGCACACATTCTTGTCCAGCTCCTCCTGTTCCCAAGCATCTATCTGACGCAGGAAAGAAGAGGAATCACTCTTAAAGTAATCAGCAGTGTTGCTATCTTGTATACCCAAACTAGTTCCATTCTCCTGTTAATGCTTATTCCTTCCTATGTAGAAGTTCATCTTGCCCATTATATCACACCCCCCAGGTTTCCCATCCCTTCCTTGCTAGATGTCAACTCCCTATGGAAACAGAGCAATTCTGGTACCTCACCAGTTTTCTGAGAAGGTGAGGTTTGGCTCCTTCCTGCTTAAAAAAAGGAGTGAACATAATGCTGCCTTTGTGTAAAAAAAAAAATGATAGAACAGCATTAGACCCACAGAAAGATATAGGTGAGGGGGAACCTGTGGGGGTCTCTAGTCCAAAGCCCTGCTCACAGCAGGGCTAAATCAGATTACTCAGAGCCTTTCTCAGCACATCTAGCAGAACAATCTCTTCTCTCATTGGGTGAGACTTGCCAACTGTGCAACTCTAAGAAGAAAATAGCTTTAGCTACGGCTTCGTGTGACCATCACTGTGATTGTTGGAGTTCAGGAAGTATTGCAAGTGATAAGAAATGGGCAAAAGAAACACTCAATTAACTTCACTCCCTTTCTGCACCCAGTCTTACCTCTTCTGGCCTCATTGTGTCAATGACTTCTATTGGTTCCTGCAGGAGAAAACACTGTTTAGGACAGGCAAAGAACCCACAGCTTCACAGAGTACAGTAAGGAAATATTTGCACAGTCTCCTCCCCCATGTGATCCCTTTTTTGTTCCAAATAGTATATTGCCGAGTGTTTAGGTTTTCTTTGTACTCATACATTATAAGGTGTATTCTGCACTTGCCAGTGAAGATTGACTATGCAATGCTGGTGGGGCAATTCAGGTGCCTAAACACGGTCATTTTGTACTGTTTTAGATGCGCTCAGATATCCACCAACACTGTGCAGATGTCAGATACCCAAGGGTATCATGGCACAAGGCAAAAGTAGTTTTTCGTTTCTATCTGGCCAAAACTGTTTGCCAAATGAAATAGGACTGTATTTTATTCCATGTTAGCCAAAACAGCATTAAGTTATTCACTGAGACAAAGATGCCCACACTCGGTCATGATGGTAGCCTTGACACCTGAGCACAGATGGCTCTTCAAGAAGATGCACACTCCTTTACAGTAATCACACCCTTTCTCCCTGGGAATTGTTCCTCGCTGATGCTGTCATAGTTCAGGACCATAAACGTGTCCATGCTTTGGCCAAATGCTGAATGGCTCTGAGTAGTAAGTTCTATTTCCATTGCATTCCCTTCCCTCTTCAGAGTACTACTAGGCTCTCCGTATCCCTAACCTGGATGGCACACTCTGTTTCAAGTGGACGGTTGTAATGGCACAAGAGCTGCTGGATCAGTTGCCTCAGCCTCCTGAAATTGCCTGAAGGATGGAAACAAACACATGGATGAGAGAGAAGAACAGTCGAGAGGCAGAGGTACAAAGCGCAGTGCCCATCTCCTTGCCCAAGGCAGGCTGGGGAATAATATGGGTGACACAGTATAAGGTGTATGACAGGGCTGAGCCAGTCACAACGTGGCATTCAATTTGTAAGATGGTGTCTGGGACATGCCAGAATAAATATTCCCATGCAAAATCTTTTCCTCAAGGTGAGGAAACAAACCATTATGAAGTATGCAGATAATATTCATAGATCAGTGTCCCTGACGGAAAAAACCCCAAAACCCAAAAAAACCCCAGAACCCCAAACAGAAACAAGACTACTAACACAGTAAACAATCTGATGCAAGGGGTAAACTGCTGTGACTAGAGGTTTCTGCAGTCCAAGAAGAATGTGGTTTGGAGTATGAGTAGGGACGGGGGAGGTGAGAATTTTGAAATTACTTCAAAGACAAAACATATCCACAGCGTGAATGAGTCCATAGGTTGTGCCAGCAGCTTAATGGTGGGAATGGAAAGGACTGCAGGATTATTCTACCAGGCAGGACAGTCAAGAATTAGCAAAAGAGGAGGAGAAAGGGTTTGGTGCTGTTGTGTTGTGAACGAGGCTGTGGAGGAAACAATGACAGCTGTGAGCCAAACTAAAAGTTATGGCAGGGAAAGCGTGTTGAAGTCACCCCTGCTCCCCTTCCTTTCGTCACTTCTGGATCACGCAGCACTAGGATCATGTAAAATGTCTCACACACTGTCCTGGTTTCGATATGACTCTTTTCCTGATTCGGTAAGGAAGGTGGATGGCTGTCCCACCACTCTACTGCCCTGGAAGCATAAAGTGGATTAGAAGTTTAGTCATACGTGAGTGGTGTTAAGGAACCAGAATGTGGTTTATGCCCTATTACATGCTAAACTTTGGGGGCCTAAAAGCATGAGCCAGAGTCCTGCCCTTTGTATTCGTTCTCAAGATTGGGCTACGCCTCTCTGCTTACTTACTCTCTGCATATTTCAGTTCACATAAAGAAAAAAACCAAACCGCCATCCCTGCATCAAATATACATGATATATGAATCAGAAATGAGCTATGAGTGCAATCTTGGAAGCAAAACTAATAAAGGCTGGGGTGGCACAGCGAGAACAAAATACATGAGTATTTGTCCATCATAATAATGTCGCTGAATCAAAGGGACGCATGTCCAAGGGAGGAGCTGTTCGGTTTTGGAGATGGCTGAGCAACAGCCTAAGCCACTCAAAACCCAAGTCCAGATGTTTAGCGCTCAGGCTGCTTTTCCCAGGGAAATTCATTCAGGGGGTGAAGGAGGCAAGAGATGGGACCCTTCTTTGTAGACTTTCCAGAAAATATCTGGAGGTATTAATTATCTGTTATTGCAAAGGATGGAGAGAGAACAGCCTGAGTGAGCCTACGCCTGCCATGCCCTCTGAGGGATCACAGCAGATATTTCTAGGTACGGTACCCTGATGTTGAGGTGCATTAACGAAGTACCTTTAATACAGGAACAGCAGAGAAAGCTCCTTCTCTCAGTCTCCGGGAAATCAGCACCTCACACAGGCACGTACACACAGCATGAAAGCTTCCACAGGCTGGCTGGGAAGTGGCTGAGGCATGCCCGGAGTTACCATACCTGTGGGTTGCTGCGGCTCCAAAGTTTCCGGCATTTGTTTAAGAGGACTTGTCGGGCCATTGGGCTCCTCTGGGTAACTGGGAGTGGGACTTGGGGGCCGAGGCAACTGTTACGGAAAGGAGAGAAAATAAAGTCCACCCTGTGTCATTTCTTCCTCAGCGTCTCCGAACGCCTTACTGCTTCTTAAGCAGTCTCTGTGTTGCAGTCCGTCCGCTTCTCTCCCTCACCTCTCCCTTCTCATCTGCATCCTCATCCTCATCAACATAAGCAAAAGATTCACGCTTCAGCTTTGGCAGGGTTGCCCACGGTCCCTTGCTGTGCCCGTCGTAGGGTGCCTCAGAGAGCTTCTGCTGCTTTTCTCTGTTGAGGAGCCATCGCCGTTCTGGGCTTATGTGTCTCTGGAGGAGAGCCTGCAGTTCAGATCGTTCTATAGACCCCAGGAGGATCATGGTCTCTGCATAACACAGGGCAGAGAAGCCATTATGCCGCTTCAGGGTTTTGAACGTCCCCTGCCCCTTCCTCCCGCCAACCTCTTCGAAGTGCTCGGATCCCTCCCTGTAGTCAGCTCAGTCCACAAACCTCCCCCACACCTCCTTACCTGCTGCATCTGCTCCGCGACTCGCACTCCAGCCTACCTGGAGCAGCTGAAACAGCCTGCTGTCATACAGCATCCATAGGAGACAATTTTTAGCATGATTTTTTTATATATAGTGGGTCACACTGTCTCCTTCACAGCATGTAATTTGAAAGCTAGTTCCTTCGGCTCTTTAAGCTGAGACAGTCTCCAGGAAGGACTAGTTTCTCCACACCGCTCACCTGGCGAGTCCACCAAAGGCAAAGTCTTAACAGTGGTGCTTTGGAGCAGAGTTTGCAAGTCTCGGTATTTACAGTTGGAGGAGACGAATTTCACGTCTTGGACCATAATATCCTCAACGAAGATATTGTATTTGCTGTGAATTTATGGACAATAAGGTGAAGAATTAGCATATTAAAAATGCCTAGCAGATGAGTTCCTTGAAGAAATATATAAACGACCACTTCTTTAAAGGGTGTTCTCAATACAGGTGCTAAATAATCTTCTGTGAGAGTAACCAAAGAGAACTTTCTAACAGGATCAACACAGGATAACTGAATTTTCATTACAGTTGTATTCCACTCCATTACCCCTCACTATAAAAATACATCTGTGCTTTCAGTGAAAAAAGAAGAGGACTTTTCTCCATTTCTGCATATGAACCCTAATTCCCCCTCTAGGCTTATTGTGCATTTTTATTTTCATTGTAGTACTTTGTAGCCTTTTCATGACCTTTCATTCTCCCCTGGCCTCATCCTCTTCTGCTTTATTTCTTTGCCACTCCCCACCTCCAGCTCTGTTTTACCACTGTACCTTATGTGATTCCAGCCCAGGTCTGGCAGGTAGGGCAACTTCTTCACCTGGATGATGCTATCATAGAGGCTGGGCTGCAGACTCTGGGCCACCATGTTGGCAAGAATGACAGCCACCATCATGGGGAGGATGTGAGAGATCTGACCTGTCAGCTCAAAGCAGATCACCGCAGTGGAGACAGTGTGGCTCACCGCTCCTGTCAGAGCTGCTGCACCTTTCCCGGTCAAGGTGGAAAATGAACAGGGAAAGAAGACGACTCATTAAGAAACAGCATGTCATGTCAGCCAGCAAAGTCATGGGGAGGGGACCAGGCGAAGAAAAAGAAAGACACAGAGGCTCACCAATGACAGCATACCCTCCGGGTAAGATTTGATAAACAATCCCATCAAAGAGGATCCCGTTGGGAAAAAGCGATGCCATGATTTCCCCAATAAGACGCCCAAAGGCAGCACCTGGAAAATATCACCGACAATTATGGAATCGACATCTAAGGAACACCCAGACTGTGCCATCAAGCTATGCTGGGCAGTCTTGAGTACCTGAGTGTTTTCTAACAGAAACAAACCCAAAGCTTACATGAAAACGACACTGGGGACTAAAGAGTAGTTCTCAGTTACAGAATAGAGAAGTTAGACTCCAAGAGGACAAAAAGGTACTAAGACGTGTAAATACAGTTGACCCTGTGTTCTCCCACTTAGGCACACTAGGCACAGTGCTATTTGTGATTCCCAGGTAGGAGGAAGCATCTTCAGAATATGTGCAATGCCACTCCAGATCACAGTTGAGGCCCTTCACACTCCTCCTATGAATGTCCCAACACTAGAATCACAGCTTTGGTGGGAAGGGATTCCTGGAGGTGTTGTTCGGACGCCTGTTCACAACAGGTGTAATTTCAAAGGGAAGTCAAGTCACCCAGGGCCTTGTCCAGACAAACCTTAAGAGTCTGCAAGGATGGAGAATCTCCAGCCTTCCTGAGGACTTGAACCAAGGAAATATTTTTTGTCTTATGTTCCATCAGAATTTCCCCTGTTGCAACTTGTGCCTTTACCTCCCATTTACTGTGTGTGTCTAAGGGGTGTCTCTCTATCCCTTGCTGCATGAGGTGGTGAAGGCTGCGGTGAGATCCCCCCTCGGCCTTCTCTTCTGCAGGTGGAACAAGCCCAACTTCCTCAGGTTCTCCTTGTTTGTTTGTGCTCCAGCTCCCCAACAATCTCGGTGGCCTCCACTGGACCCATTGCACTTTGTCAAAGAATGGCTCAATATTCCAGAATTGTGTCCAAAATGCTGAATGCAGGGAAATAACTAATTGCTGACTGGGCTTTTCCTCATAGAGCCGTGTTTGTGGTTAGCCTTCATCACTGCAAGGGCAAGCTATTGACGCTCGTTCGGTTGCCGCCTGCCAGAACCCAGAGGTCCTTAGCACACATTTAAGAGCTGTGGATACTTAATGCTGAACTTCAGGAGCTTGTACACTTTAGTCTAACATCGCCTCTCTTTTTAATATTAGCATCACATTGTTTTTAATTTTTGACCTTGGAATTAAAACCACTTAAAAACCAGTGAACACCTGTATGTTACCATATTTCAGTCAGAAGAAATGAGTAAGCGGTGGGTTACGTTGCAGGTACTAGGTTTGAGGTGATCTCTTCTAGTTGGCCTTCAAGGGAGAAAGATGCAACTACTACTGATTGTAGGATGAGAGTTTATCTGTAGGTGAAGAGGCAGAGAAAGCAGAAGGCCACGGTTGAGCAAGCCTCCCCACAGCGTGGCTTTGCTTATGTAGAAGGGCAGGGATTTCCTTCTTGGCGTTTGGATTTGGGGGGTGGGAAATGACAAAAGCAGAGGCTGGTATGTGGGACTCTTAACCGAGCTTGTCATAGACATCAAGTGCTGACTCCTCACCCCCTGGAATAAACCTAGCGAGTACGTACGCAACGTCTCCCTCATCCTCCCCACCCGTCAGATCGACACACCGCGACACAGAATGGAGACTCACCTAGAACAAAAACAGGCATGAAGCCTCCACAGGGGATGGGCATCGTGGTAGCAATGACAGACATCCAGAACTAGAACAGAGGCAGAGGGTGCTGTTGTTACTGAGCAGCAATAGCATTTTCTGAGGCCCCCCTCTACTGCCCAGCCTGTGAATCCGTAAGGAGACGTGTTCTGAGGGATCTGAGGCTACAAAGTGAAGGGTAAAAGGGCTGTAGGGTGTCAAGGGGAGGTGGAGCAGCTCTGGCAACACACCGACACTGACACAGGGGATCTCTGGACAACTGCTGTGGCGGCAGGGATGCTGAATCACCCAGGAGATGGATGAACATGGGAACTCTGCCTTGGACCTCAGAAGTCGAGATTTGCTATTGCTCCAAGCGTCTTCGCTTTTCACAGAACGAGGTTGTCAAAATTTCAGACTCAAAGATTTTAGTGCAGAGGGAACCCTGGAGGTCTCTCCCAAACTCCCTGCTCCCAGAAGTGCTAATTCCTAAGTTACATGAGGTTGCTCAGGGCCTCGTCCAGGTGAGTTCTGAACATCCTGAAGGGTGGAGATTCCCCAGCTTTTCCAGGCATTTGTGCCACTGCTGACTCACACTCCCCGGAGATTTTTTAGCTGAAATACAATTGTCATAGGTTTCTTTTATTATAGATTGTGTCTGGTGCTTCTTGTCCTATCACTAAGTTGGGCAAAATGATGAAATCTGCCCTGGTACTGCTAAGACAAATTCAAGTGCCGGCTTAGCCCAGCACATATAGACTTCTGGAGGCAACGGCCCATGGGAAAGACTCACATCGGAGAAGTTCATGGAGGACTCACCCATGTGAGGGACCCCACGCTGGAGCAGGGGCAGGGTGTGAGGCATCATCACTGCCCTGAGGGGGAAGGAGCAGCAGAGACAATGTGTGATGGATTGACCACAACCCCCATTCCCTGTCCCCCTATGCCACCGGTGGGGAGTAAGTAAAGAAATGGGGAGCGGAGTTGAGCCTGGGAAGAAGGGAAGGGTGGCAGGAAGGGTTTTTTTAAGATCTGTTTTGTTTTGTCTCTCATTGCCTTACTCTGATTTGATTGGTAACTAATTAAATTGATTTTTCTTCCACAAGTTGAGTTTGTTTTGCCCGTGACCATAACGGGTGAGTGATCCCTCCCTGTCCTGGTCTCAGCCCACAAGCTGCTCCTTGTATTTTCTCCTCCTTATCTCACATGGGGTAAGAGTGAGTGAGTGAGCAGCTGTGTGGTGCTTAGTTGCCAGCTGAGCCTAAAGCACAACATCCTTCTCTTAGGAAAACCTCTTTCTTTCTACTTGTATTTCGAACACTGAAATATATTGTTTTCTTCTTTCAGATCTCTTCTCTTGCTCTGTCTTGTATCATCTACACAGCTGATACTTTCAGAGGCTGAACCTCCACAGACCATCTCGGCTCAGAACATTTAATCTGCTGTTGCTTTCCAAGAAGTGGGCAAAACTGTTTTCAGGTACATTTCTCCATCAAGTTATGGTACTGCTAACAAATCCTTAAGCCTCACACAACTATAGATCGTGCTTGCATCTTCTTATTTGTCTGCTAACTGTAGTCAGGAATATCAAGTAGACTGTATCAGATTTTATTTAGACCAAATAGAAATGATCTGAGAGATTTTACTCAATTACTTATTTTTCTGGAATTTCAGAAATCTTTTCTGACATTGTCCTCCTTACCAACTACTACAAAATCCTTAAGCCTCACACAACTATAGATCGTGCTTGCATCTTCTTATTTGTCTGCTAACTGTAGTCAGGAATATCAAGTAGACTGTATCAGATTTTATTTAGACCAAATAGAAATGATCTGAGAGATTTTACTCAATTACTTATTTTTCTGGAATTTCAGAAATCTTTTCTGACATTGTCCTCCTTACCAACTACTACACAGTGGGTTGGTCATTCA